AGCACAGGCGCGCCTACGTACCTTGCATGAACCCCGGGACGAAGGTGTAGACGTCTCCGCTCTCCGGCGAGGGCGCGAGGCCCAGTCTCTTTCGGTGAACTGGTTCAAATTGAGACCGGCGGTGCCGTGGTCCGCCCGCAGCCGGACAGGGACGGAATTTGAAACTTGAAAGCCTGACGGCTGACGAGCAAATCAGGCGTCGCTTGTTCGCTCGTGTTATTCAACCGGCTTTAATATGTATAAATCAATCGTGGAACAGTATTTTTTTTTGCAGAGGAGGCGACGAAGTCACGAAGAATGAGACCGCGGCTCGGTTGGCATCTAGCGGGCCAGGCCACTTTGGTCAGATGATAACGCAAGGCAGCTGCACGCCTGGTTACATGAGCATGAGCTCGAGCAGCAGGAAATGAGGAAAAACAAAAGGGGAGTTGTTTCTTAGCGGATCGGTCCGAGGGCTGTGCTGACCCATACGCGGAGCAGGCAGCATCTAGTTCAGTGGAGTACTCCTACAATACGTAGGGGCGACGGCCGCTGAATGTACATATTCGTTCGCCGAGCTACCTGTTGCGTTGTCACAATGTTCTTGGTCGGTTCGGTCCACGTACACCAGCGGCATCTCCGATAGCCATTCGCCGGAGGATCTCTTTCGCTTCACTTATTGAGCCTGTTTGTTGGTTTACTGATAAGATCGGCTGGTGCTGATTTGTTGTGAGAAAAAAACACTATTAACTGGCTGATAAGCCCTGACTGACAACAAGCGAACAGGCTTGTTACGTTATTCTCGGCTTCTCGCAATCCTATCGGGGGAGATCCAGCCCGCTGGAAAGTGGAAACACGTTCATTTCAGGGGAGTTTGGTGCCTGGTTTGCTCTGGACTCTGGTATTGGACAATGGACGTCGACTACTGGTGGGGCACGTTGAGCTCCAGTGCCGCTGACTAGAGGGTAGAGGCGGCGGTAATGTAAACTAAACGAGTGCCGTGACAGCAAAACTTGGTTTCTTCTGCAAGTGACGTGCGCTCCTTGCGATAAGTACAAGATTAATAGGTGACAACTGACGAGGACTTGTTTGGAATTAGGACACCCTCTTCAAAAAAAAGTCCATTCAAATGAAACGTGCTAACTAAGCATACACGCGTCCCTGTGCGTTCCTGCAATGGACCAGCACATCGACCGCTTGCTGCAGTCTGCACGTTAATTACAGCGGAGGCACTAACGCACGAACGTCCAATGCTATCAGCGTGTCCAGATGCAGCTCAGCCAACCGAATCGTGGGCTGGCGTCACAGCCCACCAAGAGGACCGTGTCATCTAAGCATCCCGCGTAACAGAAGGTGCTCGCGTCCGCGCCGCAATCCCTCGACACACCCCTCCACGGCCCTCGCTACGCCCCTCCGCAGTCTGAGAATGATGCAAGACAGTAGAAGGCGAGGAGAGAGATACAACACTAGATCTATTTTTGAAACATCCGGATACAACACTTGCAATATACGTCTGAAGACATATAAAATACTTGAAACATGCGTATGAAACATATGCAAAAAACATATGAAACGCTTAAAAACCATTGCAACACATACGCAACATCCAGATAAAACACTTGACACATATGTGTGAAACATATGCAACATCTAGATAAACACACTTGCAACATACGTCTAGAAAAGCAGATGAAACATTGGGACAGATGTTTGCAACATACATGTACAACCATTGCAACATATGCAACATCACGATCTATTTTTGCAACATCCATACGAAACATTTGTAACATACGCTTGCAACATGCGCTTTCAACGCAATGTCACCTTGTTGCTTGGACGAATGGAGATTGTCGTTGTGGAGCTCGATGCCGTGGAGTGCGCGGAGGTCGCCGGTGTGGAGCTCTTCGGTGGCACGAACCTCGGCAGTGGCTGCTGCAGGCGGATGGAGCGCGGCCACGACGAGAGGCGCGAGTCCATGTGAGGGGGTGTGGCGCGGCTAGCGGCGCAGGCGAAGTCCATCCCCCGAGCGAGGGGGCGCAGCGCAGAGTGGGCGGGCGACACGGACTATGTCCGTAGATGAGTGGATGAGAATGAGCCGCGTCCGGACGGGAGTCATGGGACGGACGCCCGTGACATATCATTATCGTAATTACAAGACAGAACAATTAGTCTTCCTTGGTCTTAGCTGATCAATATAACTAAATAAGCAAGACAACGGTAGAAAAATTTTGGTGGGAGTTGTGATTTGGATTTCAAATAAAGTTGTCCGCGAGTTAAAAGAAAAGTACTGACAAGGATGATCCTAAAGATAGACTTTGAACAGACATATGTCACGTTTGTATGGGTTTCTTATACAAAGTATGGATTCCTTGTAAAATGGATTAGTTGGGTGGTACATAATGTTAAGACCTCTTGGAACAAGGAAAAATATATGAATTTTGGAGAATTTTAATCCCTAGAAAAAGTTCATGTACATTCCTTTGGAATAATGGATTAAACTCTATAAATTTATTTATCAGGTCAGTTTTAGTGAAGATTTCGTAGCGATTTCATGATTATTTATTATAGTGTGACATACCCACATCAGCCAAAGTGATGAGGTAGCATGAAGATTAAGAAGAGAAAAGGAGATGAGTTTCATCCCCCATGAAACATAGTTGATATTGTTTCCAAGTGAATGAAACAACGATAAACACTGCATTCTTTTAGATAATGGATAAAATCCGGTTTCGTCCCTTGCAAGCGGGAGAATAAGACTAATTGACATAACAGAAACTATAGCTAACTTAAAACCCAACCCTAACATTAAAAGGCCATCCAAATGAAGAAAAGAATTGCAAAGCTGCAGCTTCTAGTGCTTGACACACATGGACGACGCACTCCTTATTTCCTTGTCACCATAAGAGCATTGTTCAATCTACCGACTGTTGCGATTTATATGGGTATTAATCTTTTGCAGATTTAGACATACCTTCTCGAGGAGAAAGACGAAAAGCCAAGACGAGTAATAGCACATTGTTTAACTAAGCGGGTGAACAAGAAAGCTTCGTTCAGACATGTAGTTACATAATATTTTGCTCTGTTATGGCTTGAGATGTTTCTTCGCTATGGACTTCTCAGATTTGTTGCTCATCGCCAGCTAGAATCCCCAGCTTGTATAACTCTATGGCTTTATTAGAATCCGAGTTAAATCTTTTTTAAAAAAAACAAGCATCGGTGATGAGCACAAATCTTGCACTTCAGCAGAAAATTTTGCCCTTGCCGTCTCAATATTAGATCGAACTCGATCGTCTCCTGGTGCTCGCATCCAATCCCAACATCAACAGGAGCCCTTGCTTTCGAGCTAGTACTAGTAGCTACTCAAGTCAGATCACTCATTCCACGGTCGCTTTCGTGCATACACGGATGGATGCCAGAGCTCCAATCTCTCTCCACCGTCCACCCTTCCTTTTCGATATACACCTGCTGTCGTAGTAGCGTGCTGTCACGCAAAGCGCACCCTCTCCACATCCAGGTTGGTTGTCTCCCGTGCGCACTGCCTGCCAATCGTGGCCGTCGCATGTGCCGTTCTGCCTGGCCACGGGACGGGACCCGCCACGCCGAAGTGCGGACACGATTCGGAGTATCTCCTCCTGTACCACGCCGTACCGCAAAAGCAGAAGCACCGATCCCTTGCCCCCCTTGTCCTCGCCCGGTAGTACTGTGTACTGTCAGTCCTCTGCTACAATTCCGTTTGATGCCTGCAGCGCCGTCACCCGGGGCCGGCCGACGGACAGCAACGTGCCTCGCGCCTGTTCTGTAGCCCAGCTGCCCAGATCTGCGCGCGCTGTCCGTGCGTCGTCCGTAGCACGGCCGGCGACTTCCAGCTGCTCGGGCGATCGCGAACCGTGCGTGATTCCCCGAGCGTGCAAGCCGAGACCGCACGGCGACGGGCCGGCGGCACGGCACGGGATCGCCATGTGAGCGTGCAGCGCGCTGCCGCGAATCTTGTGTCGTTGCCCGACACCGGCAGCGGCAGGCAGGCATGTCTCGGCCGGACCCGGAACGGTGCCGGCTGCGTGCCTCCTGGCCGCCCGGCGCGCCGGGGCGCTTCCAAGAACTTTCCGCAGCCTGCCTGCCAGTGCCAGCTGCAGGCCAGCTTTGCCTGGAGCGGGGGATGACGTGGCGCCTCGCCATTGGTGCGTGTGGCGTCACGGGCACCAACTTTCGCTCGGGAGACGTGGAGGAAACCGGTTGGCTCGGCTAACGTCGCACCTTTTTTTTTTTTGCAAAAAAGATTCCTCGCGGCCCGATCCGAGCAAAGCGGCGCGCAATAGAGGCCCCACGTTTCAGTCTCGAGAGCAAGGAGCGGCAGACCCTTTTCCCGTGCTCGCGCAGGCCCAAACGCCAACGGGCCTCGAAGCCCAGATCCCCGGGCGCACACGTGGCGTCACCAGGCTTCTCCTACTGACGTCGCCGAACTCCTCCCGGCTCAAGCAAGGCATCTATCGCAAACTCGAAGCTCCGCTGCCTCTACCCGGTTAATTAACCCGCACACCTCATCATCACAAGTTCACAACGATCTGACCCTATCCGCCACGTTAACGAACCCTCTTGTCACTGACAGACTGTCCCCACGTGGGCGCCCCTTCTCGGCCCCACCTGCAGAGCCACAAGAGTCCAAGGAAGCAAAGGGATAAACCGGCGAGCGCAGCCCACGAATCCCCCTATTTAATCGCCCACTAAACTATTTCCTCCCAATCTATCCGTCTATTTACGCCCGCAATTATAAAATAGTTTACGCCATTATATAGAACCACTATATAGAAAAAGGGGTAGGAGAAAGCTTCGCACCCCTCCCTTTTGCTTCTGCGCTGCGCCACCAATCGCCATCGCCTCCTTGCCCAGTCTCCGCGCCGCCGCCTCCTCCGCTCCCTTCCCTCTTCTAGGGTTTCTGTTCCATGCGATCTCGCGGCCTCGGTGGCCCGGGACAGTAGGGACGCCTCCTCTCCGTTCGAATCTAGAGAGTCGGCGACCCAATGGGTAAGGGCGGGCAGGACGAAGGCAAGCGGCGGGACGGATCCGCCGCCTCCGGGCCGGACACCGCCGCGACGGTCTTCCCGGCGTGGGCGCGCACCCCGAGCGAGTGCCTCGCGGAGCTGGGCGTCTCGGCAGACCGCGGCCTCAGCTCCCAGGAGGCGGCGGCGCGGCTGCAGCGATACGGGCCCAACGAGCTCGAGCGGCATGCCCCGCCGTCGGTCTGGAAGCTCGTCCTCGAGCAGTTTGACGACACGCTCGTGCGCATCCTGCTCCTGGCGGCCGTGGTCTCCTTCGTCCTCGCGCTCTACGACGGCGCGGAAGGGGGCGAGGTGGGAATCACCGCTTTCGTGGAGCCGCTCGTCATCTTCCTTATCCTCATCGTCAACGCCGTCGTCGGCGTCTGGCAGGAGAGCAACGCCGAGAAGGCGCTCGAGGCGCTCAAGGAGATTCAGTCGGAGCACGCAACCGTCAAGCGTGATGGGCGGTGGTCGCATGGCCTCCCCGCTCGCGACCTCGTCCCCGGGGACATCGTTGAGCTCCGGGTCGGGGACAAGGTTCCCGCGGACATGCGCGTGCTCCAGCTCATCAGCTCTACCCTCCGCGTCGAGCAGGGATCTCTCACTGGCGAGACCGCTTCTGTTAATAAGACCAGCCACAAGATCGAGTTGGAGGACACTGACATCCAGGGAAAGGAGTGCATGGTTTTTGCCGGTACCACTGTTGTCAACGGCAGTGCTGTCTGTGTTGTGACGGGCACTGGCATGGCCACCGAAATTGGCAAGATCCATGCCCAGATCCAGGAGGCATCTCAGGAGGAGGACGACACGCCACTGAAGAAGAAGCTCAATGAGTTTGGTGAGGCGCTAACTGCCATAATTGGGGTGATCTGTGCCTTGGTCTGGCTCATCAATTTGAAGTATTTCCTTTCCTGGGAGTATGTTGACGGGTGGCCTAGGAATTTCAAATTCTCATTTGAGAAGTGCACATATTACTTTGAGATTGCAGTGGCACTGGCCGTTGCAGCAATTCCAGAGGGCTTGCCTGCTGTGATCACCACGTGCTTGGCACTCGGCACAAGGAAGATGGCCCAGAAGAATGCCCTTGTGAGGAAGCTGCCCAGTGTGGAAACATTGGGTTGTACAACTGTGATTTGCTCTGATAAGACTGGAACTTTGACCACGAACCAGATGTCAGCAGTGAAGCTTGTGGCAATTGGGAGGTGGCCTGATACACTTAGGAGCTTTAAGGTTGATGGAACCACTTATGATCCGACTGATGGGAAGATACATGATTGGCCTAGCTTGAGCATGGATGAAAATCTCCAGATGATCGCAAAGATCGCTGCGGTTTGCAATGATGCAAGCATTGCCCACTCTGAGCATCAGTATGTTGCTACTGGGATGTCCACAGAAGCTGCTCTGAAAGTATGATCTGTTCATGTGATAAAATTTCCTTTCATTTGGGATGCTGTTATGGTTAAGTTTTTTTTTTCTACTGCAAAATTATCTTGCATGTAGCTTGGGAGCAGGTAATGTATATCTGCAAAAAAAGTTAATAGCAATTTATACAACAAAATAAAAAGATGATAAAAGAACTGGTAGCTACTTTCAGTGACCTCTACAATTAAAAAGATTGAACACAACTCTTTCATCAAGGTACCTGAAATTGTTGAATTTACGTTGTGGTGTGACTGTTCAACTTTTGGCAGGTTTTGGTTGAGAAAATGGGGCTTCCTGGTGGTTATACTCCATCTCTGGATTCATCTGATTTGCTCAGTATGTATTCCTTTCTGCCTTGTAAAATGTTTTCCGTACACATCGTCAAAGGTTCTGTAGTAATTACTATTCTTTTATTTATTGTTTAAGGGTGCTGCCAGTGGTGGAACAATGCTGCTAAGAGAGTAGCAACTCTGGAATTTGATCGCACCAGAAAGTCAATGGGAGTTATTGTGAAAGTAAACTCTAGGAAGAACTTGCTGCTTGTTAAGGTAAGTATTTGTGCTGGAGTTTGCATCCCTTGTGGGTTTAGATCGTCAGTTTCAAGTGCACAGCAATCACCTGCTTCTTGTTGTTGGTCTGTTTAAGCTTTGATGTTGTCCAACCATTTGTGCATTTTGCTACTCCCTCCTTTTCCCTTGAAAGGGTTGCATCATATTACCTGTTTGATACTTTATCACTCAGATGTCATTTGCTTCCTTGCAAATTATGAAATATTTTTGTGATGGAAATGTCATGCTTTACTACTGCTTGCAATGTGTTGGCCGTGTCTTTTTCTTTGTCATATGATTGTTTCATGGTGGAAATAAATTTTGCAGGGAGCAGTAGAGAATCTGCTAGAGAGATGTACCCACATTCAGTTGCTCGATGGATCTGTTGTGCTATTGGATGATGGTGCCAAGGCGCTCATATTATCTACACTCCGTGACATGTCTGCCAGTGCTTTGCGCTGTTTGGGTTTTGCTTACAAGGATGAATTGGCAGAATTTGCAACATATGATGGTGAAGAACATTCAGCTCACAAGTATCTACTCGATCCTTCATACTACTCTTCCATAGAGAGTAATATGATCTTTTGTGGTTTTGTTGGTCTAAGGGTGAGAACTTTTACTTAACTGGTTAAGATTATTCAAATGTGTATATTCTTCCTTCTGTTCATTATTGCATATACCTGTAACACTCAAAGACACTATTGACAGGATCCTCCCCGAGAAGAAGTCCACAGAGCAATTGAAGATTGCAGAGCTGCTGGAATACGTGTTATGGTGATAACAGGAGATAACAAAGAAACAGCAGAGGCCATTTGCTGTGAGATTGGGGTTTTCGGCCCTTATGAAGATATCAGTTCAAAAAGCTTCATAGGGAAGGAATTCATGGCGCTTTCTGATAAAAAGAAGCTCTTAAGACAACAGGGTGGCCTTCTCTTCTCCAGGGCAGAACCAAAACACAAGCAGGAGATAGTTAGACTGCTCAAAGAAGACGGTGAAGTGGTTGCAATGACTGGTGATGGGGTGAATGATGCACCGGCTCTTAAACTGGCTGATATTGGAATTGCAATGGGCATTACAGGGACTGAGGTATTGCTTATTGCATTACTGTTGATTTTTTTTTTGGGCCTGTTTGGCTGCGAGAATAAGCGGCTGCGGCTGCTGCAGCCACTTATTCTCCTCTCATGTTTGGTTGGAAGAGTGTCTGACGTGTTGTCCTATCAACTTGTGTAAGGTTGCGAAAGAAGCTTCGGATATGGTACTTGCAGATGATAACTTCAGTACTATAGTCGCAGCAGTTGGTGAAGGGAGGTCTATTTACAACAACATGAAGGCTTTTATTAGGTTTGTTTTTAGATAAGCTATGGCTAAACTTTCATTGTGTAATTGTTGGTTAAACTAAAATATGTGTTAGCTGTTGAGTCATGTGTGCTATGTGAACTGCAGATATATGATCTCCTCAAATATCGGAGAGGTCGCATCCATATTCCTGACATCGGCTTTAGGTATTCCAGAAGGTCTCATCCCAGTGCAACTTCTATGGGTCAATCTTGTTACAGATGGCCCTCCAGCAACAGCTTTGGGGTTCAACCCGCCTGATAAAGACATCATGAAGAAACCTCCTCGAAGAAGTGATGACTCGTTGATCACTCCTTGGATCCTGTTTCGGTATATGGTACGTTTTCCAGTTGATCATTTGATTAGTTGATGGATTTGAGATTAATATGGTGGGCTCTTGTTTTTTCCCGTCCAATGAAGCTGTGTAGCAAATTGAAACGTACATGCTTTTGAACAAGTTATATCTACTAAATTGTTTTATGGTGAATAGTTTGTAGTGTAAACCTGTAAGCGTTATCATAATGTAACTAAGTTTCCTTAAGATCTTGAGCCCAGTAGAATGAATATGGCCACCAATTTACCAAAGTGTTCTTGGATGTGCTAACTCAGGGTTGAGCTTTTCTTCTGATAAATTAATGATGTGAACAACATTTGGTGTTTAAACATCCACCACTTAGATATGATATATCTGTCTTTGTTCTAGTAACAGGAAGAAACATAAAATGCAGCATCAGACTCGCATGTTCGAATAAATATGTAAAGTTATGTCTGGAGTAGATCTATTTGCCTGTCAAATCTGATCTAACTGATCTGCAACTAAAGTGAAAAGGATATCTGATGATAAGAAATGAAGCATGAATGGGTTATAGAGAATTATATTTCCTGTAAATATATTAAATAGCCTTGTGGATTTTGATGCTACCTTATTTTTCTAGTTGGCCTATGCAACCACATTAAACAAGCTGTGCTACTTTTTTTTTACTAACCAGAGAGCCATGCCCATGCATGTGTAGGTTATTGGCCTTTATGTTGGGATTGCAACAGTGGGAGTCTTCATCATCTGGTACACGCATGGCAGTTTCCTGGGAATTGACCTGGCTAGTGATGGTCATACACTTGTGTCGTACTCTCAGCTCTCAAACTGGGGCCAGTGCTCCTCATGGGAGGGCTTCAAGGTGTCGCCATTCACTGCAGGAGCGAGGACATTCAGCTTTGATGCAAATCCATGCGATTACTTGCAGGGCGGCAAGATCAAAGCAACTACCCTCTCTTTGTCTGTCTTGGTGGCCATTGAGATGTTCAACTCACTGAATGCGCTGTCAGAGGATGGCAGCCTTCTGAGCATGCCGCCATGGGTTAATCCGTGGCTTCTTCTGGCCATGTCCGTTTCTTTTGGGCTGCATTTCTTGATCCTCTACGTGCCTTTCCTCGCCCAAGTGTTTGGGATTGTGCCCCTCAGTTTGAACGAATGGCTCTTGGTGATAGCAGTGGCCTTCCCAGTGGTGCTGATCGATGAGGTTCTCAAATTTGTGGGGCGGTGCCTGACAGCGCGTGCCCGCAAACAATCAGGGAAGAGGAAGGCAGAGTAGATGCTAGTGATCATCGGTATTAGAATCTGTAGTGCCACGGGGAATCTATATTCGATGTGACACCCCATTTTTTTTTAGTTGCTAAGGGCCCTCGATCCTTTCTGAGTGTTTTAGATTGGGAATATGACCGTGCAGGACAAGCTAGGGTATTCTATAGAACTCATAATCAGATCGCGTTGAACACACTGCATTTTTTTCGTTGTAACAAATGCTGGTACTGTGAACATGCTGGAGATACAGCAATGGTTACCTGACGCTTTTTCTCTCTAATGGTGCGCTATATACGCTACTGTTATGTTGCGAATCTTCTGACATGTTGCTCACTAATACGTTTGTTGCAGTCGTATGAGCAGTTATGTGTTTTTTTTTGTGAGATTCCTCTTGGGCAGATGATGATCCGTAGCATTGTTAGGGTGTCTAGAGGACATTGTTTCTACATGTGTGAATCAGTGAATGTACATTGTTTCTTCTACACTTGTTGAAATTTACATATATGGAACAGAAACGGGGTTATTGTCTTTGCCGTTTTGCTGTCCTGTACATGGGATGATGCGAAGATGCAAGATAATTTTAGCTTCACCTAGCCTCCTCGCTCTTGATCATCTTGGAAAAAACTCTCGTCATCGACATACCATCAAGGTCCCCCAAGTTCGCTGACACGGTGGCCTCTGTCCCGTCGCTGACGGTCGACTGGTTGCGATGGAATCTGGACGCACTCCTGGGAACTAGCTGCGTGCTGTCTGTGCCAGAGCTGTCCGGCGACGCCTCCTGCAGCTGCAGCGCGAACTCGAGGCACCAGAGCACGTCCCCCATGGCGGGCCGCTCCACGCCGTACTCCGCGAGGCACTTCTCCGCGGTGTCAACGAACTTCTTGAGCGACTCCGGCCGTATCGACACAGCGATCCGCTGGTCGACGATGCTGTCGAGCTCGCCGTTCTTGAGCCGCTGCGTGGCCCACTCCGCCAGGTTCACCATCTCCCGGGGCAGAGTCGGGTCGATGACGGGGCGCGCGCAGAGCACCTCGAGCAGGACGACGCCGAAGGAGTAGACGTCGGACTTGTCCGTCAGCATCTGCCGCCGGAAGTACTCCGGGTCGAGGTACCCGAAGCTGCCCTTGACGGCGGTGCTGACGTGCGTCTTGTCCAGCTCCGGCCCGGTCTTGGACAGCCCAAAGTCGGCGACCTTGGCCATGAAGCTGTCGTCGAGGAGGATGTTGGCGGACTTGACGTCCCGGTGGATGATCGCCTTGGCCGAGCCGGTGTGGAGGTAGTGCAGCCCCCTGGCGGCGCCGATGCAGACGTCGAGCCTCTGCTTCCACGAGAGCGGAGGCAGCTCGGAGTCGTAGAGGTGGCTCCGGAGCGCGCCCCTGGCCATGTACTCGTACACCAGGATCATCTCGCCGCGCTCGTCGCAGTAGCCGATGAGCGACACCAGGTGGCGGTGCCGCAGCCGGGAGAGCAGCTCGATCTCCGTGCGGAACTCGTTCAGCCCCTGCTGTGACTGCCGGTTGCCGCGCTTCACGGCCACCCGCGTCTCGTCCCGCAGCGTGCCCTTGTACACCTTCCCGAACCCGCCCACGCCGATCACCATGCCCTCGTCGAACCCGCACGTCGCCTCCTGCAGAGCCGCGAAGGGGATCCGGTACCCGGAACCGGCGCTCCGCCCGAGTGTGATCGTGTTGTTCCTGGCGCCGCCGCTGTTGCTCTTGCCGAAGCTGCGCGAGTGCGACCGGGAGCCCAGCGCGCTCGCCGAGATCGCGGCCCAGGTGTTCGACGCCTTCTTCTCCTGTTTCTTCCTTCGCCGCACCGTGAGGACAATGAGCGCGACAGCCATCATCACCGTGGCTCCCGCGACGGCCGAACCGGCGACGATTGCGATGGTGGTTTTCTTTGAACCGCTCTGCGACGAGGCGGCGCCACCGCCGCCGGTGCTCCCGATCATTCTCATGATCTCGAGGCCGTTGAGGACGCCGTCTGGGTCCGCGTTGCCCAGCGTGGACGTCCCGATGCTCACTGTGATGTTGCCCTTGGCGTCCTTGGCGCTGAGCACAAAGTCCTTGTACAACGGCACGGCCTGGATGCCGTAAGTGTCTCTGGAGATCTCGTAGTCCGGCAGCACAGCCCATCCGCCGACGTAGACGTTGAAGACCAATACGTTCGCCGCCTTGCTGACTATGTCGCAGAAGTGTAGCCGGAGCAGGTACGCCGACCCCGGCGTGGCTTGTAATTTCCATGTCATGTTAAACTGCACGCTTATGGTGCTGGCGGACATCAGAGTCGTGTTGATCTCCGTCGCTGTAGCATAGACCATGTCTGGCGCCGTCTCGGCGGTCGCGAAGCCTGCCGTCCACCGGAGCGTCAAGGGCGGCACATCTCTGTGGACCGTGACGGAACTGTCGACCAGGAAGCTCTCGTCGGGAAGCCACGTCCTCCCCAGCGTGTCGTTCCTGGGCGTGATCTTGGGAGAGCCCATGTTGACCCTGTGAACCGTCTCCAGCGCCTGCGTGGACAGCCCCGTGTATTGGCCCATGGGGTTCACCTTCTGCGCCGTGTCGGCGAAGAGGTTGTCGGGGTGCGACACGACCTCGATGGCGTTCACGAACGCCACCTTTCCCGTCGGCGTCGGCGTGAACGCGATCGCCAGCGTGCCGCCAGCGACGTTCACCGAGAACTCCCGGACCACGGCCGTGCCGTTGACGGGCGCGTACCCGTCGATGATCACCAGGCCCTGCACGGACACGCTGAACCTGGCGTCCGCGGCGAGGTCACCGGACTGGTACCGGAAGGGGAAGAAGTGGAGGCGCACGAAGTGTCGCCCTGGAGTCTTGACCGCGAACGTGTACGAGGACGGCGCCGCGAACACGCGCGCGTACTGGTACAGCGCCGGATCGTCGGAGCTGCTGGCCGACCCCATCGCCGACGCGTTGGCCTCGGAGCCCCGGGGCGCCGACAGCACCGAGGCGGGGAGGCTGGCGTCGCCGAGGAACGTCCTGCCGTCGACCGTGGCGTTCGCCGCCGTGCCGCAGAGCACGAGGTAGTTGTCCGCCGGGGTGAACGCGGCGCGCGCGGCGGCCAACAGCGCGGACAGCACGACGGCGACCTGAAGGAGCATGTCAAGAACGGGGCGAGCCATGGACGGGGTGGAAGATGAATCGCGGCAAGACCATCAGCGTGGCTCTAGAAGCAGAAGCAGCTCATGGACGTCTCCCTGGAACAGAGACGTCGAGGCTGGCTGCGGCGCAGGGCAGGCAGCATCAAGGCCCCATGGGAGTCATGGTGGATGATTAGCACAGGACTGGACAGGAGCTGCTCAGAAACCTGCAGCTTGTTTGGCGGCGGGCTGAAAGTGAATCTGCGAACTGGCAGGATAGGCACAGCAGGTAATAGGCGCTGCCTACCCACAGGAACGCGGAACCGGTGCTTGGTGATTGGAGATTTGGTTAGCCATGGAGGTAATATTGGAGGCGCTGGAACTTTTGGTTAGTGGGGAAAGCATATCACTGTCATTTTCCGAGGATCTCAGGTAGAGGGTGGCCTTGGATATTTTATCGTGATCCTTTTAATCCTGTCATTTTCGTGGTTTACAGGTTGTCAGGCAAACTCTACCTACGCCCGTATTTGATCTGGTAGCTCGTTGACGTAATTCCAAAGACCTACTACGCCCGTATTTGATCTTGTAGCTCGTTGACGTAATTCTAAAGGAAGGTCAGGACATTTACCTCTAATATGACGTTAGCAACATTTTGACATATATATATATATATATATATATATATATATATATATATATATATATATATATATATATATATATATATATATATATATATCCTAGATCCTCTTCTGTGTTTATGATTATGAGCACATTTTACCATCACCGAACAAGAGGAAGAAACGGTAGATCACGGCACCAGGCCAAGTAGGCAAGCATCCGTCCCCTTTTTTTTCCACCAAACTAAAGTTTAGTTAGCTAGAATTTCAAAGCTAAACTTTACTCAGCTAAAAATTCTCATAGCTAAACTTTAGTAGGGGTGTTTGACTCCAGCTAATACATAGCTAAACTTGAGCTAAATTTAACTAAGTTGAAATAGCTAGTCAGTTATACTTTAGCTGGTCTCCTAGTTGGACTGTTTGAATCTCTGGCAGCTAAATTTGACCCGTTATATGTTCTATTTGTTTGACTGATAAGCATAATGGTTGACTGTTGACTGATTTATTATGAGAGAAAAATACTATTCTTTAACTTAAAAAAGTACGACTTATAAGCTAGAACATAACGATAGTTTAGACGGTGGATTAAACAGGGTTTCTTTCACTTTTCACTGCCGGTCCTCCCTCGGCCGTTTGTGCGCGCACGTCGACCTCAACGAGGTTCCATTCACAGCAGCGACAAATTGGCAGCAGGCGAAAACGAGTGGGGGAGCGAAGAATCGAGAACGGCATACGATACATACGTGCCTTTTTAGGGACCAGGAATTCTCGGGTCCGTTAGACTGATGTATAAACCGTCTACGATTTATACGGCTAATTTATTAGAAGAGAAAAATATTATACTGTCACCCTAAGCCCGTTTATAATAATAGCCGAACGGAGCACTCGTTTCTGAGCATTGATTATCTCTAGCCCGGTGCTAGTGCTCCTGCTTTCCCAAGTCGCAGTCGCAGGCCCTCCGAATCCATGCGTCGCGAGGTGGGAAGGACCGCGGAAGTCTCCAGCGGCACCCGTCGTCCGCCACGCCCACACGCAACCCGACCACCAGAGCAGTGGCAGGGCAGGCGCGGTCGTCGTTGTCGTGCCGTCGTCGTGCGCCCCACCACGAGACCAGATCATACACTGCCGATGCACACGTTTCAGGGCTCATTAGATTAGATGGCACCGTGACACGACGGAATCGGATTGATTGGCACGCTGGATCGGATCGGATCCATTATTTTCAGAGGAATTCTCGCTGCACCGTGATGCTTTGTCTGTTCCTGATCATCATAGACGAAAGACATGTACTATACGAAGAGGATGACACTATGACAGACGGGGCTGCGTGTTTCGCGTGCGCGCGGGGGAGACGACTCTGGTGTGTGGACACAAGGACCGGGAAAAATGAGTGTAAACCCACACCTCCATTCCATCCACTGGTCAGTTAGCGCACTGGCACTGGAGGAGAACGCGCGGCGGCTGAGAGAGACGTGAACCCTGGTGCCACCAGTACGAGTCGCGTCGGCGCCGCGAGGGGGACACGTATGGTACGGGCAGTTCGGGCACCGTCTCGCCCTAGCCCCTAGGGGCAGACCGGCAGGGGTCCCTGCGGGGCGGCGCCTGCGCGAGTTGACCGGCGTTGGGTTGCGGTTGAGGATGACCGGATGACGAAGTGGAGGGACAAGGACGAGAGTGTTGGGGAGCAGCTGGATGAGCGGCGATGTGGCGGAAAGCGACGCCTTCACGCGGCATCTCTCTTCCTTCCTTGACTTGATCAACGCCCTAGGAATAACAAATAATAAAAGGAGGCGGCTACTTGTTTCTGTGTCTGTGTCAAGTTGTAGTGAAGTTGGTGTCAGACAAGAGGCGGTTTCTACGGCGTTCTACGGCGTGTACGGGATGGGGACGGTGAGGCCCGTCTTCCCTTGTGCGGCTGTGCCCTATCCTGGCCGTAAATGGCATCGTAAAGGCTTCCAGAGCAATACAGCATTGTAAGGATCAGAGGAGGACATATTTTCCAAAGCATATATCCCCATTCTTCAACTTGTAACGACAACAGGTGCACTGCAAAGCATGGTGTGCTTGCCCTAGAAGGGACTGAGACGTGTATAATAATTACATATTTACATGTTTTTGAAAAACTAACAGCGACGACCACTATTATGAACCTAAAGTTGAAACTACTGATTTTTTACTGCTGCAAAGTAGAGTAAAAAAAAAACTATCACTTTCAATGGTTAACACATAACCATTAGTTTCTGCATGTCCAACATGGTTAAGGAACTAAGATCAGGAATGGCCAGACACGATCATTTTATTGCAATCACAAAACATATACAGAGAAATACTAGTTAATTCAATGGACAGTAATGCAGCCGTAGGTACAGGTAATGCGACAAATTAATAAACTGATTCTGAAGATGATAAAAAGGACCGTAATATAAATTTTACTGGCTTATCATAGGGGACTTTAACCTCATTTATAGAGCGGAAGATAAAAACAATGATAGGGTCAACATCCCAATGCTCAACAGATTTAAAAATACAATAGACAATTTATAGCTAGCACCTCTGGAGTTGAAATGGAGGCGATTCACATGGTGCAACGACAAACAAAACCCAACGATGACGAAAATTGATCATTTCCTAGCATCAACCGAATGGTTGGAAATGCTCAACAGATTTAAAAATACAATAGACAATTTACAGCTAGCACCTCTGGAGTTGAAATGGAGGCGATTCACATGGTGCAACGACAAACAAAACCCAACGATGACGAAAATTGATCATTTCCTAGCATCAACCGAATGGTTGGAAATGTTCCCAAGAACTGACCTCCAGGCTTTAGCATCTTTGGGCTCTGATCGTTGCCCATTATTTCTTCAGGGAGATACGGATTTTGACTTCTACCGAGGTTTCCGTCTTGAGGCGCACTGGATACACATGCCGGAATTTACACAAACGGTCCAGGTGGCATGGGAGCAACCAGTAAGCTCTCAGGACCCGATGCTGCGTATGCATGTCAAACTTTTGCGCACAGCAAGAGCCCTTAAAATCTGGAGGCGAACACAACTCAGTGATTGGAAACTAAGAGACGCCATTCTTCACTTGATTCTATTAGAACTAGAGAACGCACAAGAAAGACGCACGCTGACGACGGAAGAGTTGGAATTTAAAAGATATCTGAAGATGAAATCTTTAGGCTTCGCTGCCATTCAAAGGGCAAGAGCCAGAGAGCATTCCCGGCTGACTTGGATTAGAAAAGGGACATTAATACCAAGTTTTTTCAGCTCCACGCTAACGCTAGACATAAGAAAAATTATAATAGCACAATCCAAAGTGATGAAGGGCTCGCCGTCACTCAGCAGGACAAATCTAAAGCTGCACTAGAGTTCTTTTCCAATGCTGTTGGTAGTAGAATGCCGAGAGGTATCAATTGGGAGCAGCTGGGCTATTCCCCGCACAACCTCGATGATTTAGACACGCCATTCACAGAAGAGGAATTGCTCAACACAATCAGGGAATTACCGCCGGAAAAAGCTCCGGGCCCGGACGGTTTCATTGGAGTTTTCTATAAAAAATGCTGGAAAATAATCAAAGACGATCTTTACGCAGCAATACTTGGTTTCTATAACCACAGAAATGCTAAGATGAGTTTGTTCAACGAGGCCAATATTGTATTGCTGCCGAAAAAACAAGATGCAAGGACTTTAAATGAATATAGACCAATAAGTCTCATCAACAGCATGGTTAAAATCATCACTAAGATGCTGACGAACAGATTGGCGGCACACTTGAATGAGTTGGTGTCGCATGCCCAAAATGCTTTCATAAGGAAAAGGTGTATTCACAATAATTTCATTTATGTACAAAGGGTCATCCAGCTCCTACACAAGAACAAGAAGCCAGCTTTGTTTATCAAATTGGACATTTCGAAAGCTTTTGACTCAATAGAATGGCCCTATCTCCTTGAGGTGCTTAAAGCACTCGGTTTTAGCAGGAAGTGGCGCAACTGGATATCAGCAATTCTCGGCACTTCATCATCCAAAATTCTCGTTAATGGTAGACCGACTCAAAATATTCCTCACGCGAGAGGTCTCAGGCAGGGCGATCCATTGTCACCTTTATTGTTCATCATCGCCATAGACCCGTTACAACGTATCATCGAACATGCAGCTCAGTGGGGTATTCTACACCCGGTTTTGCCTAAGGCCGCAAACTTGCGATGCTCTTTGTATGCGGACGATGCAGCCATATTTGCAAACCCGAACGTTACAGAGTTGAAGAATTTTCAAAAAATACTAAAGTTCTTCAGAGAATGCTCGGGGCTAAAAATTAACATGGAAAAGACGGAGATCTTTCCGATAAGGGTAAAGCCCGACTTAATACCTTCACTCATCCAGAATTTCCCTGGGAAAAATGGAACTTTTCCAGGAAAAT